CGTGGGTGCAGGGAGGGGGTCCCGGAGGAGAGCGCCCCCATCGGGGCGGGCGCCCAGGGACCCTGGGAAGGAGCACAGGCTGACGGGGTGTCAGCTGCTGCCGCTCTGGGGCCTTTGCTGCCTCCTGCCCCTCCTCTCTAGCGTGACCTGCACCTCGGCTGCCTGCCACCCTCCTCCCCCAGCTGCCCGGCACCACCCATCACACCCTGTGGCTGCGCTGGCAGCCTCGCCCCAGCTCCCTCCGCAGCCCGGACTGAGCCCCACGCTCCGAGTCCATCTCCTGGGTCACGGCTGCCGTGGCGGGAGGGTGTGCGGGCCTGACGCTGCCTCCCAGCCCCTTCTCGCTGCTGGAAGGTTTGCCCTGGGCCCTCCTTTTGTCTCTGGCTCGTCGCCTTCCCAGAAGGCCCCAGGCGTGGACTACCCAAGCCCCCAGAATGCAATGGGGCCTGCCATCGGGCTCCTCACACTTTAGCTTGCGAAGAAGCTGCGTGACAAGGTCCCGCCCACTCTCACTGTACGTCAAGCGACAGTGAGCCCCAGACCTCTGAGCAAAGGGGGGACCTTTCATGGGACAGGCTTCACTGCTGGAACTCGGGCTGTGACCATCTTGTTACTTTGGCTGCACCGTGAGTGCTCACTGTGGAGTGGCCCCACATGGCCAGCCCTGGGACCCTGTCCCCTGGAGCCTGGAGCCAGGCCACCTCTGCTCTGACGGCCCTCCCTGCCAGCCAGACTCCTGACCCCACCGCACCCCTCTGGCCTGCACACCCGGGCTCTGCACAGCCCCCCGAGGCCCCGCCTCTCTCCTCTGCATCAGACCCAGGAGACGGCAGATACGACTCCGGACGCCTCTGGCTCCGGCCGCCCTGGCCTCTTTGCAGTCTCTTCCTGCAGCGCATCTGCCCGCGCTCCACCAGGAGGCTTTCCGAGATGCCCGCCATGTCCTGTCTCCCCGCCTAGAACCTCCAAAGACTCCGAGGGCTTTCGAAAGACCGCCCCCTCCTCAGCCTGCACTCGGGTCCTTGGCGTGAGGCCCTCACACCCTCACCCCCCACGGCCGCGCGTGCAGGCCGCCTCTCATAGTCCCTTTAGCAACTAAAGCCACAGACCAGGGTAGTTATGCTCCGGGAGCTCCTGGGGGCCGGGGGGTGGGGGAGACAGGTGTGTGAACAGACTTGCTGAAGGCCCGAGGGGGCAGAGCGCCCCCTGCAGCCGGCTGGGTGGCCCTCAATGCCACACAGGGCTTGGGCTTCGTGTGGGGCAACGGAGGCCAGGCCAGGGCTGGGAGGAGGGACAGTCACTGTGTGGGACCGGTTTTCTCAGGAAACACCCACAGTGGAGGTCTGGAGTGGAAAGGGCCCGGCAGGAGGGCTAGGGAGGCTGAAAGGGGGTGTGGGCCCGGAGGAGGCAGTGCTACGGAGGCGGCAGTTCCCACTGGTGTCTGCACGGATGGTGCAGGGCCCCTGGGGTGCACCTGCCTAGGACGTCCTGGCCAAGCGCAGGCTCCACACGAGCCTCAGGGAAGGTTCTGTCCTCCACTCCTCCCTCTGGAGCCCAGTCCATCCCCCAGAAGCCTTCCCTGGGGGCCCCAGGCTAAGCAGAGACCCCGGCCGCCCCCTGGACCAGCCCCTGTGCCCATACCTGGCTCCCCAGCCCCCCCTGGAGCTGGTAGAGGGAGAACCTCTCTTTGGCAGACTCCTCGGCGGTGGGGCTGAGGGGCTTAGGGTCGGACAGAGACCGCTGCAGGGTCTTCACGGGGCGAGGCAGCGTCTGCTGGCGGAGCGCGCCGTCGGCCGCGAAGTGCTTCTGGGGACTCACGTGAGCCTTGCTCAGCCTCTCGCTGGAAGCAAAGGGCGCGTCCAGGAGCCGGTGTGGGGACAGGGGCGAGACTGGCGAGTAGAGGACCTGAGGGGACTTGGGAGGCTGGCGGCTCACCAGCTGTGAAAGGGACTCCGGGGGCAGGTGGGCCTGGTAGCCGATCTCCAGGGGATCCGGCTTCTTTTTCTCGAATCTGCCCAGGGGCCCTGGGGTGACGATCTGGATGCCGGGCAGGTAGGGGCTGATGGCGGCCGGCCCTACGAGCT